ATGGTAGTTTATTCCTCTTTCAAAAGTTCTAAAGTTGAAAAGGTACTGCATAACAGGAATGACCCTTAGAGATGTAATTCAATGAAAGCAAGCACAATCTGGCAAAAGGGTTATACCTCCTCCTTGGTTTTCAGGTATATTCTGCCCACATATCCTTCCTGCGGCTGCCAGCTGTGAGTAACTCTCAGGAGCCGTTCATCATTCGCTAGGGGGCGCTGCTGAAGGGCTCTCTTCGACTCGCTCTTCTCCTTGCACAGAGGCATTTTCTCCTCCATCAGGAAGTAGTTGAAGGAGGTAGTCGGAAATAACTGGCAAGAAAGAGACTATTTAAACGTGTTTATGTGCTGAGGAATGATGAAAATGTGAAGCAGACCAGTAAACACCGGAGTGAACACTACTTCAAGTAGTAACTTGTTCCTAATGAGAGAATGGATGACAATCATTCTCCACGAGGAGGACGCTTTGGTAACTGGATGAACTTCCAAGGGTTAATCCGAAACATAATTTCAGAACTCATAAAAATAACTTCTCAAGAATTCCAAGAGAACTCTGAATCCCTGATGGCACCACACACAGAATGCTTACACTACTTCATCGACAGTAGTTGCACCCTGTCCTCTGGTTCATTGCACTTAACAGTGTTCTGGTGTGTGCTAACCTGTCTAAACTGGCTCGGTTCTGTTGCGGTGACACTTACAGAGTCCAGGAGCTGCTTGGCCGTGGTGTATTCATCAACACACATTACGGTGAAGGGTTCAGGGCCTGGAACTCCATGCATTGTCACTTTGTGCTGCTGGGCGGCGCGTCTTTCCTCCGTGCTGAACAGCTGAGAGGAAAAAACGACAACAGAGTTCACATTTTGTTCACATTCCAAAACATATGGCTATTAAACGAAAGAGCAGGTTATTAATATTGTTTCAGAGCTATTAAACAACTCCTGACAGTTTAACTAAATAAAATGATTCAATCACATTGTGTTTACAGTCTGCTGTGTCATGCACCTACTGTATGTTTGCGACGAAAACATGCAA